ACTTTACCAAGCATGGTGTCCTTCTCCGGCGACTGGTCCCTCCTGGTAACATGTCCAAAGTATGTGAGATGAAGTCTCGCCATCCTTGTTTCTAAGGAGCATTCTGGCTGTACTTCCAAGACAGATCCGTTCATTCTTCTGGCAGTCCGTGGTATATTCGATATTCTTCACCAGAACCGTAATTCAAAGGCTTTCGCATGCATATGAGAGGATTGAAAATACCATGGCCTGGCGCCTCTTAGTCCTCAAAGCGACATCTTTGCTTTTTAACACTTTAAAGAGGTCTTTTGCAGCAGATTTGCCCCATGCAATATGTCATTTAATTTCTTGACTGCTGCTTCCATGGGAGTTGATTGTGGATCCAAGTAAAATGAAATCCTTAACAGCTTCGATCTTTTCTCTGTCATGATGTTGCTTATTTTGTTTGCTTTGTGCTGAAGTGTATTGCATGCAGAAGGCTGTAGTTTTTGATCTTCATTCAGAAAGTACCAGTCGGGAAAGAAATTGAAGTCAGAGGGGCCAGTTAGGTTGCTGGGGAAACCAGAAGAAAGAGATGAAAGTCTATTCTAGAGGGATGGCTGTGAGAATGATGAAGAGGGGGTGGAGAAGCTACAGGACCTAATCATTGCATAGACATTGAGAAGAAGAGAAATCTGAGGTTTAGAGCCTCAGCAAGTAGTAGGACCTGTCATAACTTCTAATAAGACCTGTGAGGTCATGTAGAAAGCAGAGGACTGTCAAACCATAGATTTGCAGATAACATTCTGTATGGAAGCAGCCTCTGCCTCCTGCCCATAAATGTTCATTCCTTAGAGTTTGATCCTTGGCCCTCTCACTTAAAATACTGTCTCTGCTTGAGTGAGCTCATTACTGCGCAATACATCAACCATTATTCTATATGCTGTTCACTGCTGAATTTACATCTCCTCCCATGAATGCTGGACACCTACAGCCACCTACCTACTGGACTTTCATGGGAAGACCCAAAAGCTTGTCAGCCTCAACCAGTCCACAATTAAGGGCGTCTCATTCCCTACCCCTATCTGCATCCTCTTCCTGTGTTTCCCCTCTCAATGAGCAGGACCACCAACCCTCCAATTGCTGAAACCAAAAACCTGGGCATTATTCTTAATTCCTACCTCCCTCTCCCCCAGGCTCCTCTGTTTGATGGGTTTGTTCTTTTGAACGCCCTTTCTCTTCATTCCCAAGGCCATCGCTCTGGTCTAGACCCTTATTTTTTCTCACCAGGATTTCTGTTGCCATCTCCTGATTGGTCTCCTTGTTTCTTATCAAATTGTGCTAAAATCTATTCTCTGCAAGGGAGCCAATGTGGGTCTGCCTATGTAAGACACTTTGTGTCCCAGCCCTGCTTACAGGTCTTCAATGGCTGCCTACTCTCTTCAGGACAAAGGCTTCAGGAATCCACGGCCTTTTCAAAACTAATCTATCCTTCTCTGTCATGTTTAACCTTTCTCCACTTTTTCAACTGTGATTTTATACTCCAGCCATATTGAACTGCTTACAATTTGTCAAACTCAACATTTGCACCTGCTGTTCCTTTTCCTCAAGTGCCCTCATTCTCCTCTTGGTCGAACTGGCAAACTCCAACCTATTTCTCACATTTCAGCTCAGGCTCCACCTCCCCTGGGAAATCTCCTCAGTCTTTGCCAAGCAGATGCCTCCCTTTGTGCTTCCTCTGCACCTGGCACCTATCCTGTCTCCTTCTGCTATCACAGGACGCAGGACATCCATTCATTCATTCACTCCTTGGTTCTCCATATATTTCCTGAGCTGGTGCTGGGGATATAATGGTAAACTCAAGACACATGACTCCTGGCCCAACATAAAATGATGACTGCAACTGTCTGACTCAATAAGCCTTTTCTGAATGATGGATGAGCTTGGTTTTGTGTGCCTGGAGGCTTGGCCTTTGCCCTTGCTCTTCCTTCTGCCTGTAATACTCTATCCTGTCTTTGCGAGGCTGGCCACCTCTTGTTGGGCAGGTTATCTAGAGTCAGTTTCCCTCCTCCTCTATCCCTTCCTAGCTCTTCTCCCAGATCTACTGGCTCAACAGCATTTAGCGCTGCCAAGATGACCTTGCTTATTTGCTTACTTGTCTGTCTTTCCTCACAAGAGCAGGGACCTTGCCTGTCTGATTCCTCGTGTAGCCCAAGGGACTAGTACAAGCCTTGCACGTAATGGAGCTTGATAATGTTTGATAAATGAAGGAATTTTATAGAAAAGGAAGCAGATGTGGAGAAGAGGAGGGCAGGTAGCCAGCATGAAATTATTCAATTATAGACCTGGTGCTAAGCAAGCATGGGAATTACAGTTACATAATGGAAAGAGGTAAGACAAAAACAGTGACAGGAAAGATGGGAGCCGTAACACTGATCTTCATAGCAAGAAGGCTCTTGCTCTCTCATATGGAGATGCCTAAAAATCAAACCCCAATGCTTCACTCTCTTCTTGTTTCCCATCACCTCTTTTCTGAACCTTTGCAGGATTACTTAGGAAGCAATAGTTCTCGTGTGGTAAATCAATACTGATTTAAACGTCAACAATGCCTTCAGCTCTTCATGCTCACTTGTTTTTCCTATTAAAAGAGAAACTAAGTACTTTAAATTTTAAAATAGCAACTCTCAGTTGGTTAACTACATGTTTGTTAACATTTTAAATAAATTTATTTCTTCCTATCTATCTGACAACCCTGCATTCACCCAGGTATGTGTACATACGTCTAAAAAGATGTCTTCTGGGATTTGCCAAGTATTCATGAAAACTATTTCTGGCTGATAGAATTTGCTTTTATTTTCTTTGATTTTCACTTCTGTATTTTTCTGCATAGTTTATTTATTTATTTTTAACAGTGTACATGTACTGTATCATTTTAGCAAGAAGGCTTTTCTTTAAAAAAAAAAAATGGAAGCAGATATACCAAAATGTGATTGAGAGTTCATTTTGGGTGGCGGGGATATTAGGATATTATTTTTGCCCTTGCATTTTTTTCTGAAAAATTATTTTAAGTTCTAAAAGGAATTTTTAAAAATGTGAATATAAGATTAGAATAGCAGATTTAGGGACCCAGGGAGAGCAAACTGAGTCAAAGTCAAGATTGACTCCTGGGTCGAGAAAAGGCCCCAGCAGCAGACAGCTAGCAGGAGGGGCTGGGCAGACCCGGACCCGGACCCGGGAACCGAGTTGATGTTGCCTTGGGAGCTGGGCCTCTCTTGGCCAACACCCGCCAGAGCCAGGCTCCTCCGAGCTCAAAGCGGTTGGTTCCTGGGAAAACCTTAAAGGGCGAAAGGACTAAATTCTCCCAGCTCTTTCAGCACGATATATAGTCGTAGGTGTTTATAATGATCTTCTCTCCCTACTTTAAAAGGTAAATTACCACCGTAGCGCAGAGACCTGCCCAGCCCCTCGCAGGGAGTCACGTA